TCCTCTGGGGGGGGGGGGGTGATTTCTTGCTTTCTATCTCTCTGTCTCTCTGTCTTCTGGTGAGCACACGTGCCCTATAGCAAAAACTTCTATAAATAAAAATAATAAATGAGAGGAGGGCGGCAGGTGGCATGGTGGTTAAGGGCGCTGGATTCCCACGTAGGCGACCGCCATTCGAGTCCTGGACCTGGTGGCTTGCTTTCTCACTTTCCCTTTCTCTCTGTCTCTGTCTGGTCAAACTAAAAACTGATAATAACAAATGGAATTTAAAAATATCAAATGAGAGGAATGGCTAGTGAACATAATGGCATCAACATAATGAAGTATTCTGTAGTTATGCACATTGTAATTATGAAAACTAAAGGAAGATAAAAGGAAATGTTATATGAATAATGAAACGACCAAGATAAGGACCAATAATGTATACAGCAAGAGCAACAACATCCTTGAAGCAAAAACTAAACTATGATGCAAAACAAAGGAAAATAGACTGAGATGGTTTTTTTCCACGCTGTAACTAGTAAATATTTAAATGGAGGCCAGCAGGTGGCGTGATAGTAAAGCGCTGGGCTCCCATGTGGCCAACCACAGTTGGCAGAGAGCGAAATCATGCGCACACAGAGAGTAAAATCCCAGGAGCAGAACGGAGAAGAAGGGATTGCAGCATGGCCATCCCCCCAGGGGATGATTTCTCACTTTATCTCTTTCTCCAGAGAGCATATACATCCTATGGCAAAAATCTTTAAAACAAAAAAAAAGTAAATATATAAATGATTATCAGTTGATAATCTTGGTGTGACAAACATATGCTGTCATGATTACCATTGTGTGGAGTTTTTAACTTGGTAAACTTTCTTTTCAATTTGTTGTCTTAATGAGATCTAATGGTCAAGAGATGGCTACTAGCACTGTTTAAGTCATGCCCACATTGATGTCTTGCATGTACTGCCGTGTAATTTTTGTCTTGTGTGTGTGGTCCTTTCACAGCCACGTTATGCCCAGAGGCTCAGGAACAGGCGTTTACAGCAATGCTGCTCCTCCACCTGCGACTTACCAGGGCAGCCTATACAGGCCACTGCTGCGAGGACAAGCCCAGATCCCCAAACTCATGTCAAGTAAGTTTCTGCTTCTGGTTATTGCACACGCCGAATTATGCCACAGCGAGAGTGGGTTTCTAGCCTTCACTGCTGAGAAGATCTGTTGTGTCAGAGCAGAGATAGTGGACTTCACACAAGTGTAAATTATAAGACTTGTGAGAAAATACACCAAAGCTTTTAAATATTTTTTATCCTGACTATATAGTAAGTACATAAGGTAAATTGAATTTCCTTATCTAATAAGTCTGTTTCTGTGTTAAATTGTTCTGAAAGAGGTATGCAGAACTGATTCTGTGAATACTCGCATTCATGAGTGTTTGGACGCTTAATTACAGTAGGTGTGGAATCTTTAAAGTTACCACTTAGTTCATTGAAAGGGAAAAGTGTCCCTTTCTTGATCCAAATTGTACTCTCAGTTACCATCTAAGATAAAGCGAGGCATCGATTTAGGTAGCACTGTACCTTTATCCTTGTGGTCCTATGAAAACCTAGGCCTTTCCTTAACCCTTTATATCTTGTGGACAGTTGAGAAATGTTAACCGCAAAAATAGCATGGCATTTAGATTGCAGCAAGAAAAGGAGAAGATACTTGCTTGTTAGACATCGTAGATTTTCATTAATTTTAAGCCACATTCACATTTAATGTTGAGTTCCATGGATTTGCCTGTTTATCAAAGAGGTATTATTGGGGCCAGCATGGTGGTTGAGGCGCTCCACTCCCACATGAATCATGGTTCAAGTGTCAGCCCCAGCAGCCTGATCATCACACTGGGTGCATGTGCATGTATCCTCAAACCCCGAGAGAAGAATGGAAGGGGTTGTGCTGTGGCCATCCCCCACGGGGTGATTTCTCACTTTCCCTCTCTGTTTCTGGGATAAGCACACATGCCCTCTGGCATAAACCTAAAAAAAAAAAAAATCAGAGCCACTGTTTTTCTCAAGCCTTTCTCTCCATTCCAGACTTTCTGGATATTAGCCAGCTAGACCAGGCTGGCAGAGAGGAGAGGACACGGTGTGGCAAGGTGCTAATGGTTGTCACATCTGAGCATCATAACATTAGTTTTTCTGAATGTTTGAAATATTTCCTAACATTAACTTTAAAAAATGAAAGAGTTCAGAGAACCCTCAGAACTCCTTTTAGAGCAAAGTTGTTGTTACTAAAGAAGGCACCAGGTAAAACATGGATCGTTTGGGGGAAGTATTTATGCTATGAGCCTAGCACTGTTTTAATGCCAATTAGGTTTACGAGCCATTTTTTTAACCCAAAGCCCAGATAAGCTGGATAAGAAATGGCTTCTAGGTTTTTTGAAGGCCCTCTGTTCCAGTATATTCTCTCTCTTTTTTCCTCTCTCCCTTTCTCTGATGTGACTTAATGACATTGATAGTGAGTCTGTTTTGAAAACCATGGGCTTCAGCAGTTTTATTCTATTTAGTGAAGCGCAGAAGGGGTGTAGAGGTGGATGAGCCGAAATGCAGTAGTTATATAGCTGCTTTCCTCTAAGATTTAGCAAGTAAAATTTCTGCGTATTTTTGTGTACTCAATCTCCAGTGAGATCACAAACGACTAGAAAGTCTAATCACCTTGAAGCTCTCTGTGCCCTGAGGTGTTGCCAGTGAACAGCGAAAGCATATCCAGCTTATTTTTAAACCTAGTTGTTTATTCACACATTCCTTATCTTATGGCTCTTTGCTGTTTGTTTCCACCCATAATTGTCTCACAGCTTCCAAATAGGAAGAACAACTGAGATGAAGAAATGCTAGAGCCAGGTATCCTCTCTGGATTAATTTAGCCGGTATTTCTCAAGATGGTAGCCATGAGGAACTTCCGAGGTTACTACGCTGTGTAAACTGCAGAGAGCTGAACAGTGTTTTGAGTGGCAGAGACAAAAACCATGTGCTCTCATCTGGAAACACTACCCTTGGTCAGTGGTTCTGAACTCTTTTTTTTTGTTGTTTGTTTGTTTTTTTGAGAGCTTTTTGCTATAGGACGCGTGCACTCGCCAAACAGAACGTGAGAAACCACCCACCCCACCCCACCAGGGGGGATGGCCACACCAAAGTTCCTCCTCCTCCATTCTCCTCTTGGGATTTTGGGCACCACGCACACGCACCCGGCATGAGTTTAAGCCACCGGGCCCAGGATTTGAACCGCAGTCGACTACATGGGAGTCCAGTGATATAGTCATTATGCCAACTGCTGGTCCTAAGTGGTTCTGAACTTCTAGGAAACCATAGGCCCATGAGCCACAACAACCATGGGCCATCCCCACAGAATGTCACTTGGCGAGGTTAATGTCAATCAACTCTGAAATAACTAGACGTTTTCCTTTAAGATCTATTGGGAATAAAACAAGACTTGGTGGATTGAATAACATGCTGAGTATGTGTGTATGTCCCAAATTCCCACTGGACAGAGAAGAGGAGAGATTGCAGAGTGACCATGTCCCATAGGGATTACTTTCTCCCTCTCCCTTTCCCTGTCCAGGTCTCTCTGGGGAGCACATATGCCCTCTGGCAAATTGAAAAAACAAAACATTTCTAAGATGTCACTAAAAGTAGAACAAAGGATTAGCCTCCCTATTTTCATAATCAATTTATGCTTCCAAGCTAATTTTGTATTAGTTATTCCAAGTTTAACTCAAACACTTAACCGCATTTTGAGCTTATTCTCTCTCATGTTAGAGTGTTCCAAATTTCTATTGACTCAATTTAAACACCACATTATTGGTGATTTTTTTCAAAAGAATTATTTATTTAGTTTTATTTATTATTCACCATTAAATATAAATTTATTGTATTTTTTCTCCTCTACTGATTGAGGAAGTCCTGTATATTCCTTATTTCTAGTGGGTTTGAGTTGAGTTATTAGTGTTCTTACTCAATCCATTGACATGGTCCTCTTTATCCCTTTGGATATGTGGTGAATCGTACTGATTGATTTTCAGATGTTAGACCGGTGTGACTTTTCTGGGACTAAGCCTATTTATAGAATGTATTATCTTTTTGTGGGAGGGGGTTTCTTCTACATTTATTACCATTGCTAAATGATGAGTGACATCCACAACTTCATACGTTTAGAATGTATTATCTTTTTTATATGGTGCTACCGTCAGTATGCCAGTATATTATGGGGTATAGGGTTGTCAGGCAAGTCTTGACACATTTTGCATAGGAAAACATAGAATACATCGTGACTTTACTGACACCCTAATATTTGTGTATCACGTTATGAGAGATTCACTATTACTGTCCTCTTTTTTTTGCACTTTCTGGAGTAGTGTTATTTTTGGCCTCATAAAACAAGTTAGAAAGTGTTTCTTACAGCGTCAGCCTGTAGCTCAGTGGATAAATGCCATGTGTAGAAAGCCGGGTCCCACATGAGTGACTACAGTTTAAGTCCTAGCCCTGGTGCCACTGGAAAAACATCCCATTTCCATGTATGTACATCTCCAAAATTTTTTTTTTTTTTGGAGAGGTTTTTCACTATAGGGTGCGTGTGCTCGCCAGACAGAGAGACAGAAAGCGAGAAATCACCCCCCAGAGGGGATGGCCACGCCGCAATCCCTTCTCCTCCATTCCCCTCTCGGGATCTTGAGCACACACGCATGCACACGCACCCGGCGTGGGTTTTAAGTCACCGGGTCCAGTACGCGAACTGCGGTCGACTACGTGGGAGTCCAGCAACATAGCCATTACGCTGACTGCTGGTTCCCCATCTCCAAAATTTTGATGGGATAGAGAGATGAAGGAAAAAGGATTGCAACATGACCATTCCCTATTGGATGGTGCTTTCTAAGAAGAGCACACCACCTATGACAATTTTAAAAAGAAAAAGAGCTTCTTATATTTCTGTGCTCTGTATGGGATATCATATTGATAAAATATTCTTGTCATTTTTTTTCCTTTTTTAAAAGTAATTCCTAGAAACTACTAGTATTTTTAATATATATTTATATACTAAATATTAATATATATGTGTACACACATATTTATATTATGTTTATATTTATATTTATATAGATGGCCCATGCACTTGTTGAGAAAGAGAAAAAGTACTCTTTATGGGTGGGGGGGTAGTCATACTGCCATACATTTTCTTCCATTTCTTCATCCCCTCAGGATTTAGGGGCATGCACACACACGTGCCTGGTGTATCTAAGCTGCCATGGCTGAGACTGGAACTGCACTTGGCTGTGTGGTTAGTACCCGGCTCCCTGTACTCGGGTTTGACTATTACCATAGGAGTAAGAGGAGTAATCTTGGTGCTGGCCCAAGGTTGTTGTCTTTTTTTTTTTTAGAATCATTTACTTAATTTTTTAATTGTTTTTAATTTGACCAGAGAGAGAGAAAGAGAAAGTGAGAAAGCACGCCACCAGTTCCAGTCTAACCGCAGTCGGCCATGCGAGAGTCCAGAGCTTCAGCCCCCAGACCTGCTGCGGCCCTGATTCTTGTAATCTCTTTTAATTTTCAGGAAAATTTGACAGCAAAGCCACTCGTGTCTAGAGATTTCTTGATGATTGGGCTTTTAATTATAGATTCTAATTATTTAATAGATATGTTAAGTTGTCAGGAAAGTCATGATATATTTCTCTATGCAAAAATGCATTGCGACTTTCTAGACAGCCCAGTAGGCTATTCAGACTTTTTGTTTCTCTTTATGTTAGTTTTGGTTAAATTCCTTTTTCATTCACAGGAACATGTTCATTTATTCTAAAATTTCAAATTTGTTGCCAGAAGTTATGCATAATATACTTAGTCACTCTTTTTTTTTTTTTTTTTGCTTGTTTAGTTAATGTTACTAGAGCCTGTTTCATATAATTTGGTTTCTGCTTTTGTCTTTGTTACTTTCTTCTACTTCCTTTAGATTAAATCACTGCTTGTTTTGTGGGGGGTTTTTAGTTTGTTTTTTGTTTTTCAAGATTTTTGCCCTAGGGCACATGTGTTCCCCATAGAAAGAGAGAGAGGTAAAGTGAGAAATCAGCCCCCACCCCAGGGTGGTGGTGGGGGGTAGCCATAAC